TGGCCAGACAAGATGTTAGCCAGAGCTTGGGTTTTGGGTTTCGAGATTGTGGGTGACTTGGCGCATTCCGGGGTTTTCCGCCCTATCATCCAAGAAGGGAAGTTGGCTTTGGACCAATGGCTTGGACCAGCGGCCGAGGCTGACCTTGCTCGCCTCTTGAGCTCACGCCCTCCACAGCATGTCCAAGACATCCTGGAGTTGACACAGGACGAGATAGAAAAAGAATTTTGCTCGCCTTTGCGCACAGCACTTGAAATGGATGATTTGTTTGGGGTTGGGGGGTGGCGTTTCGTGGAACGTTTCCTTATCATTCAACCCGATGGGAAGAAACGGGCCATTGATAACGCCAGGAAAAGTGGTCATAATGCCCATACTACGATGCACGAAACAATATCAACTGTCAATGTTGATTTCTGTGCGTCCGTAGCACGTATGTTGCATACAGAGATGCCCTTTTCTCTTGGGGAACCCCCAGAATGGCTGGACCTCCGTCTGGGTACGGATGACCTACCGGATGCCTATCGGGGTTTGCCTGTCGCCGATTCCCACCTACCTTTTTCAAATGTGGCTATTTTCGTGCCGGGGGTGGGCTGGAGATTCACATGTATGTGGGGTCTGGCGTATGGCTTGGAAAGTGCTGTGGTGAACTTCAACCGTTTCCCACAACTTGGTATCGCCATCACTAGGCGCTGCCTATTAGGGTGTGCAGCTGCGTACTTTGATGACGAACTGGCAGTGGAGTGCATTCGTGATTGCGATGTCTCCCAAAGAAACCTACAACTTGTGTTCAAGTTGTTAGGTGCCCCACCGCAGAGTTCCAAGAGCTTCGCACCTGCACCCAATAGGCACTACCTGGGCACATCTGTCCATGTAGGAGACTTTGGCTGGTTGGGGGTCATCCGTTTCCAACCAAAGACTTCCACAACCATGAAAGTCCAAGCCAAGCTCCACGAGGCGATTGTGACCAAGCAACTCCGCCCAGATGATGCGGGGAAACTTCGTGGTGACCTCAACTGGCTTTTCAGCATGTGCGCAGGACATGCAGGCCGCTTTGCTGGCCCTGTGCTGGCGGCAAAGCAACATGCCTCATCCCCTGTCCTACTGGAATCTGAGGCCACCACCCTCCAACTTCTCAGCATCATGCTTCGCACAGCCAGGCCCCGGGATGTTGAGGTGTGCTCCGCTACCAAATCCCCCCTGGTGATTTACTCGGATGCATCCTTCGAAAACGGTGCATTACGAGTGGGATGGGTACTTATGACCTCACCTCCATTAGGAGTGTCGTGTCTCGTCCCATCGGAAGTGACAGATACCTGGATAACACGTCATCAGCAGATCTACCCTGGAGAGACGCTTTGTGGACTCCTCGTGCCGTGGGTCCATGGTGATCTCCTGGAGGGTCGAGATCTCCTCTGGTTCGTTGATAATGAGGCTGCTGTTTCCTCATTAATTAAAGGTTCCAGCGGACAAGAAGACGTTCACACCATTGTCCAGCTGTCACATCTGATTTTCCAGAAACGCCAGATTCGACCGTGGTTTGAATGGATCGACTCTGCCAGTAACCCGTCAGACGGGTTGTCCAGGTTGGGTATTGAGGATTCCTGGACCCAAACCCAACCCTGGCATTTGCGCGAGTTGTCCTTCCCAGTCGAACTCCTTTTTGTGGCTAAGCCTACGGACCTACAACCTTTCCTCTCCTTAGTGAACAGTGGGTGATTGTTATTTAACAGTGGGTGATCAGGTATGTTCATCAAAGATGACATAAAAAGCTAGTCTGT